GAATTGCGAAATGTCTACACATTACCGTCCCATTACACGGCGTCCAAGTGTCTCAACAGCCAAATGGCCAATTCAATCGCTGTTAATGGTTCGCGAGCATGAGGTGCCGGAGATCGGTAGCCCTTTGCAACAGTGACTGGGCCCTCATACCGAGACCTGTGAAGGGGTGACATTGTCACCCTGTGAAATGGCGTCATCGTTGGAGATGTTGACGGGGACGCTGATGGTGTTTGACTCGGAGTTGTGCTGGGATGCCACGATGGCTCTGAAGACAGGGTGGGTGATATCGAATGCGTTGGTGAACCCGAAGGGTTGTCACTCGGATGTTGGGTTCGCCAAGGAGGCCAAGACACTCTATAGTTGGGTCTCTCCGTTGGAGTGATAGTCGGATCCGACGATGGGCCAGTGCTGATGCTGGGTACTGCCGACGGTCCTCTGGAGGGGCTAGTAGAGGGTATTGAAGAGGGATCAGAAGAAGGAAAAGAGGAGGGCCCAACCGATGGTGTAATGGACGGCAAAGATGAAGGGTCGTGCGATGGGTGTTGCGACATTGTGGGTTGAATGGACGGCACGTCGGTGGGTGCGAACGTCCTCTCTGGTGGTCGAGAGACGATAGCACGAGTGATTGGTGGTTGAGTTGGAACGGATGAAGGGGTAATACTCGGAACAAGGGACACGGATGGTCGGTTAGAAGGGCTTTGAGATACGCTGGGATGATATGATACCGTTGGTTGCTCAGTTGGTTCCAAACTCGGAGAGCCAGAAGTGGATGGACGGTATGACACACTTGGTTGGTCGGAAGGTTGAAAACTTGGAGCAGCAGATGTGGACGGGGTTGGCGCTTGGTGGAATCCGCCCATGCTTGGTGGCAAGCTTGGGGAAACAGAAATTGATGGGAGATTGCTGGGGTGGTATGACAGGCTCGGTTCCTCAGAAGGCGCAGAGCTGTGAGAAGGACGGTACGACTCGCTTGGTCGTTCTGAGGGGGGCGAACTGGGCACACGTGAAGGTGTCTCCGAAGGACTCGACGGTGTCTTTGAAGGAGACTGAGAAGCTACGTCTGGCGTCGTTGAAGGATGCTGAGATTGTCGCACTTCAGGCTTTGGCCAAGGACGTGAAAGCGACGATGGCCCTCCTCGCAAAGAGCTGTCTGTTCCATCTGTTGATGGCGATGATGTCGCTGGTTGTGGTGTTGCATCCGGTGAATATGTAATGCGAGCCACAGTTGGAAGCCGGGTTGCCCGTGCCCCTATTGTGCGTCTCGTTGGATAATCGGTTGGACGTCGTGTCGATCGAGCCCGCCCCCCTACCTGTATTTGGCGTTTCGTTGGATAATCGGTTGGCCGCCGTGTCGACCGAGCCCCAATTGGAAGGGTCGTGGGCAGTTCTGTTGGAGGTCGAGTTGTCCGAGCCCCAATTGGAAGTGTCGTCGGCAATTTTGTTGGAGGTCGTGTAGTCCGAGCCCCAATGGGAAGGCTCGTTGGAACGTCGATTGGAGGTCGAGTTGCCCGAGCTTCGATTGGAAGGCTCGTTGGAACGTCGATTGGAGGTCGAGTTGCCCGAGCTTCGATTGGAAGGCTCGTTGGAACGTCGATTGGAGGTCGAGTTGCCCGAGCCGTAATCGGTAGATTCGTTGGAAACCCTGGAGGTCGAGTTGCTCGTGCTCTGATCGGGTGTTTCGTTGGAAATCCTGGAGGTCGAGTTGCTTGTGCCCTTACCGGAAGTTTGGTTGGAAATGCGGTTGCTGATGGCCAAGGAGTTTCCGTGGGAAATGCAGTCGTGGTTGGCGTGTACGTAGGCCTGGACTCGGACACGCTCACAAGCTTTGATCTTGGAAAGAAAATTGATGTCTCAACCGGTGTTTCCTGGCTTGACGTTTGTTGTTCGGCTACAGCAGGAGATGTTTGCGAATCTGTTGATGAGTCTGATGAGTCTACTGAGTCCCATGAATCCAATGACACGCTTGCAGGTCTAGGGATAACCATTGGCGTGGTCGTTGGATGCCCAGTGGGCAACGGTGTTTCAATTGTTGGACCCTCTGATGGGCTGGAAGTGATGGTATGATCCCTCGACCCTTTCTTTTTGCCCTCTCCACTCCTCCCTAACCCACCGGCTTTGGCATGGTCGTCCTTCGATCCTTTCTGCTTCAATCGGCGTTCTTCATCATCATCGCCAGCAGAACTTGTCGTTCTTGCTGTGTGAACGAAGATGTTGCTTCTTCCTACAGAAGTAATAAGTTTACCCGAATCGATTTGGTGCACTTGTAGATGAATCATATGTGTTCCACAAGTGATATGGCAGATGGGTAGAGGGTGGGATGGAGTACGGATTCGGGGTTAATGGTGCTCTTGTTGAGCCAGTTGTGGGCCCAGCAGCCGTGGTTTCTGGAGTGGGAGATTCTGCCGAAGCAACAGAAGGGGTGCTCGGTTTATCTACCCCCGGCGGAGCTAGGTCAACTGCGGGGATCTCGTCTGCTTGTTTCTTTATGACCCAAGTACCTGTCTCGGCATCATACATAAAAGACTGCGGAAGATTTACGGAGGAAGACGGCATGGCTGAGGGCTCTTCTTTTGGGATTGTTGTGGGAGCTACAGTGACGAGATCTGGTGTTGGCGATTGAGTCAAAGCATCAACGGGAGTTTGACTTGGCAAAGCACTCAGCGCTGTCGGTATTTGAGTTGGGGGACTCTCTTCTGCATGCTTATTTGACACCCAAGACCCTTTTTTGGCATCATACATGAAATATTGCGGAAGATATGTGGAAGGAGAGATTCTGGTTGCAGTAGGCTCTTCTGTTGGAACTGTTGTTGGAGCGGTTGTGATGGGTTTCTCTTCGCTTTCAGAGAACTCGGGGCTTTCGGCACCATGATCCGCACTCGTTGGAATGGTTGTGGGATCTGGTGAGATAGGGCTGACTGTGGGGAATCGCGTCGAGAAGATTGTGGGATAGACGCTTGGTGAATCTGTTGGTGGCAGGGTTGGATCGCTTGTGGGGCTCCCCTCTGCAACTTTGAACTCAGGCTGTTTCTTGGATTCGTTTTCAGGCTGTGGCTCGTTCGTCGGAAATCGTGTTAGCGCAGCAAAACGAACCATCGTTGGATATGCCGTGGGAAACTCCGAAGGAGATTCAGTTACCGGGCCGTCTGTGGGTAGCTGAGTTGGCTGGATTGATGGGTCCAAGGACGGCATCCCTGAAGTTGATCCAGTTGAAGGAACTCTTGTTGGCTCATTGGTCAAGTCTGTTGGAACAGGAGTAGGAAATCTCGTTGACGGGGGAGACGGGTCAGTAGCCGGCCCTGAAGTTGATCCTGTTGAAGGAGCTTCGGTTGGCTCATTGGTCAAGTCTGCTGGAACAGGAGACGGCAATCCCGTTGGCGGTGGAGACGGGTCGATAGTCGAGCTAGGGTGCCCTATGGGTCTCTCGGTTGCTGGCAGCTCAGCGACGGGCATGATCGAATCAATTGTCAAACTCTCAGGCAATGATGTCGGCAGTGTCGTTGGTGATCGTGTGGGGTGAGACGTTTCCCTCTCCCCCTTTATTTTATTCTTGCCCCCCTTCTTCGATGCCGTGGGAGCTTCTGATGGAACACCCGATGGGACGTCTGATGGCGTCCTTGTTGGATCGTTTGATGGCCCGAAAGACGGTCTTGATGTTGGATTGTCTGAAGGAGGTACCGAGGGATAGCTTGTTGGTTTATTGGAGGGCTCCAACGACGGAGCTTCTGATGGTTCTTCTGTTTCCCCTTTCACCCCACGTGCCCTACCGGTAGCTTGTCCCTTTTGCCCGGATCTACCAGTATGAGTCAGAGCACGCTGTTCCTTTTTGACCCTTGAATTCTTTCGTGCATCTTTGGCCCCGCTTCCCTCTTCACGACCATCGATGAAGATTTTGCTGTTTGCCCCTCGTAGCAAGTTGTTGTCAGCAGTATTCCTGGTGGCCCTTCGCCGTCTTCTAGATTTGTGGCTTCGCGCGGCGTTGACGTATTGTCTCCCACCACCGTCATCCCGTGGCTTTCCTCTCAATCCCGCGACACGTTCTTCATTGGCATTGGCGATGTCATGTTGCTGGAAGACGAACAGCAAGAGGATTGTTATTAGAAACGTTGGTCGCATTTTTCTGTGCTGCAGATTTCTCATTGCTCCATTGTCGTTGCTCTTGTTTGTGTCATTGAAGTGAAGCGACTCGATTCGGTTCTCGCTCGAAAGTCGTGGCTTCAGTCAATCTCGAATCAAGGTTACGTTTCGGACTCCAGCGGCAAAGGCGACAGCACTAGTACTGTTTTGGTGCCACTGGAAACGATTTTCTTGGCAAGCAAGGACGAGGAAACAAAATGTGAGTAGACCTGATCCGTTGGAGCTGCAAGGGTGAAACTTTGGCGTCAATGGGCAGCTCGAAGGCAGCAAAATCGCGAGTTTGGTGCGCCGAACCGCGACGAGGAAAGAAGGGGTGGGGAAAACATGTGGGGGGAAGAAAAGGGGGGCGAGGAAGAAGGAAAGAAGGTCGCGCTGCAATGGCGCAAATGGGAATTGCGCAGCGCCCGATCAAAACTTTGATGATATCGAAATGACGTTCGCCACAGCGGAGACTGTGGCAACGCTCTCTGCCATACTTCTATCCCCCATAAGGCTATCTGAAGCACACCGAGTAAATCAACTACTTGCAGATTCAAATAGCAACCCCAGCTTCCCTCAAGTCCAGCAGTGCCCACCTTCCAAGGGTGGTGGCATTTGTCCTCTGCAAAACACCTGTTGCCCCATTCGACTATCGAATGGTACGATTCATAGTGGCTGTATTCCCAGCGATCTAGGCGCTTCTGTGGCAACCTGTTGTGCCGATCAACTGACTGGCTGTGGAGTGGGGTACCAATGCTTGGAAGATGAATTGAACAATCGACCAGTATGTAAGGCCACAGCTGAGATTCAAGATCCCTTGGTGCAAGAACTGCCTCGCTATCCACTATGTCACAAGTCTAAAAATGCCAATTTCCAGCACATTCAGAGGTTTGTGTCGCCTAGCAAATTTCCAACTGCAGAAATGCTGTACTATTCATCACATGGAGACATACAGCACTGGAACCACCACCAGCAGAATATGATACACAAAGTTTTGATTGTGATTCATGGTGCCAATCGCAATGCAGATGATTACTTTTGTTCTGCCTCTGCAGCGGTACTACGAGCTTCACAACCATTGCCTGACCAGGTCCTTCTGTTGGCTCCCCGCTTTGTGGTCCCTCAAGATTTGCCACCAACCGTCCACCTCGGAACAGAAACCGGTAGAATTCTACAATGGGATGGAAATGCCCCCAATGGCGCTTGGAGATATGGTGCCAATGCTATTGCTCCATTGACAGCCACCAATGTCAGTTCCTTTGATGTACTCGATGCTTTTGTGGAAACTATTCGGTCCCATGTTGGAATGTCATGCAACCGCATCACTGTGGTTGGCCACTCCAGTGGAGGTCAGTTTGTGCAACGATGGGCCCTTTTGTCCGACCAAGCCCAGCATGTGCAAACAGTGGTGGCCAACCCCAGTTCCTATGCCTATCTGACACCACAACGGTATGACACGAACACTGGGTCTTGGAAGGTCCCCGGTGCGCAGAAGGACTGTCTCCACAGGTACAATCAATGGGAATGGGGAATGGAGATGTCCAAGGACGAAACATCAGAATACGTGCGGCGGAGACTACAGAACAGAAACCAAACAGACGCAGTGATAGAGCGATTTGCGACGCGTCAGGTTGTCTACTTGGTGGGTACCTTGGATCGATGCAACGCGTCCTCCTCTGACGAGGAGAGGTCAACACCAGCAACTACCAAGCCATGGTGCTACTCCCACGGTCTGGAAACAACTTGTATGGACCACATTCAAGGAAGCAATCGATGGGAGCGCAATGTTCGGTACCTGGAAATGCTGAAACTTGTGATTCCTTCGTCCCAGAAATACCACAAGAGGGTCGTGGTACCGGGAGTGGGCCATGACCACAGTCTCATGTTCTCGAGCCCCCAGGGACTGGAGGTGCTGCTCTCCAAGAGTAGCAGTGATGAAATGCATTCCATCAACCCGATCGCATCATAAACCAAGAATGATGCAGGGTTGTGAAGCACTGTCACCTGGTGGTGGAACCCGTGCTATTACGGTACCGGTACCAGGTACGAAACTTGGATACGGCAATAACTAGTACCTGGTACGAGTACCAGTGGTACACTGTACGGCGATTGAACGATAGTAATTGAGTCGAGTCGCGAGAGCAGACAGGCGCCAGACGTCTGGCTAGACCAGTCTTTAGGCTGTTTTCCTTCATGTTCCGTAAGGCTCCGGCTGCCCTTCGCAGACAAGAGATAGAATTCACTTCTGTCGCCCACCGTTCTGCTGACACGAACATGTACTGAAGGTGTACATAGACTACTGGTACTGATCATGAGCAGTCTCACCACATGTACTGCAGTACTACTAAAATAGCTGGTACGGTGAGCTGTTGCTGCAGCTTGAACACAGATTTGACCTGCGAACTCCTTGAAGTGTGACTCTTGACTAAAAGACCGCTTAGAAAAGGTCCAGTAGCACAATGCAACTGGCCATACTTTTGAGAACACTGGCACCTTTAACAGGGGAAGCCAGGTTCGATAATTCATACTCTAGTCAACGACAAGGTCATCCTGGATCTTAAAGCAAAGAAAGAAATAAAACACACTTTCCGATGGCACAATTTGGCACGAATCCAACGAACATTCTATCTAGAGCTTCATTTACATGGCTACGTGGATGTTTTGGGGGACAATGTTACAGCAGGCGAAGCGTAGTGGCGGACAGTTTTCTTTAGAAAAGCAAGAGCTCAGTGGATCAAAAAGGGTTTTATGAAGATCAATCGACAACAAGCTGCGCAGAAAAGAGTAGAAACTCCACGCAATCAAGGACAATTTGGTTAGGACCAAAATAGACGTGTTAAACTATGCATTAATATGGCCTGTAGTTGATCAAAAACCATTACTTTTGTAAGTTATGTTTGGAACCATGCACGGTGCTTCAAGAAATAACTCGATGCGAAGCCATTCAGAAATCCTTCACAACTTGTAAATAGTATACATTTAACAAGACGGAAGCAGAACAGGAAATTGCCTTTCCGTCAGCTCGTTCCACTTACTCCTGAACTCCACCAATCTTCACTTTCCACTTAAAGAGGATGCCTTCGCAGCTGCCTTCGCGGCTGCCTTCGCACAATTGTAATTAGCAATTGAAAGTTGCTAAAGATGAAATGAAAAGGCTCACCTTATATTCCTTACCGACCCATTGAAACTGCTGATTCCAGAATGAGCTGGAGGAACGATCGCATGTGCGCGACAAGTGCTGAACCAATCGTACCGAACATGTAGTACATGTAGTCTTTGGTGATATTTTGCATAGGCATAAGCCTTATTGTGTCTGTGGTAAGGTACTGGTACTGATACGGTAGGATAGACAGCCCTCACAGCTTCAAAGACAACTCCAAGTGTTGCTACTTGTTGTTGCTTCTCTGTTGAAATTTGCTTATCTCCTAATCCGTGGCCTCTGGCAACCTGGAACTGAAGGCATAGTCTAATTGATCATCAATCTTGATGCTCCTTCTCATAGTCCCAAGGATCCTCACCAGGTCCTTTGCAATGGCCCACACGACAAGAAAAGCATGTGTCTCCAGGCCTGTCTCTCCCAATGCTGCCACTTTTTGCTGTCTTTGCTGATGGTCTTCTTGGTGTCCAAGCTGAGGCAGCCACTCACCAAACATCTCTCCTCTTTGCTCGCTGCAAAGTGGTCCCGCCCTGGGTGGTGTGTGGCTAGGCTAATGCTTGGCTCAGCCTTGGCTGATATTGTTCAGGCCGCACGGCTCTTGTGTCCCTGCTGGCACAATGAGCTATGACCAGTCCGTACTTACTTGGCTTTGTCACTGTGGAGCTGCTATCCCAGTGTCAATAGCCTTCAATAGGTCGGTAAGGTTGAGCGGAGTGTTGTCATGAGAGGCAGTATGATGACATGATGACCTTAAAAATATATCTTGATTTGGGTAAAAAGCTTGGTGTCGATCTACGCTTTTGTTCAACAGATCCACCAAATTTATTTCAATGGGTTGCATCACTACTTAAAGCTGCCTAAGTGAGTGTCCGCGTGAGATAGTTTACAAGCGATTTACAATTCGTGGGACCCCTTCCATTCCTCGATGACCTAGCCGGCTTACATGACTTAATACCGGTACGTCTGGAGATGTCGACAACTCGGGGTTTCCTTAGACACTCCGTAGACACTGATTACTGTTTAGCCATTCAATCTGGATCCATTACTGTAGCTATCCATTTAGACTTATTGAGTTGTAGTTTCTTTTTGATTATTAATAGTACTCTATTTTGATAGTGACTCTTGGCAAAAGGCTGGGTCGCAAAAAGTCCAGAGAATCGACTTGCTCAGCTGTTGTAGATACTGTCAGAGGCCCCGATCTCCTATTAAATAAAATGTAATCGTCGAGTCAGCTCTTCTTGTCTATCCTACGGTGATTGTCCTACCCTTCTCAAGTGGAGGTAGCTTTACCAGTAGTGGTTGGCGCGTAGCCGTGCCGGTACCGCCAGTGGCAACTGGAGCAGGCTCTGTCGAAGTCTTGAGGAACCACTCCCAATAGATTAACCAAGCACAGCGCTGCAGACCACAGCTGAAGTCCGCTTACAGCCTTTCACGACCACACCGCATACTGCTCTTTCTCTCGCCTCTTTTCAACCAATACTACTTTGCCAAGGCTTCTGCGGCCAGCAAGCTCCATTTACCACTGCAACCACTACCTTCATCAGGTATCATTGCATAGCCATTGGTGTGTGTGCTATATAAAGACCCATTGTTCTCTCTAGCCACGCTCATCATCATCCCTCTGGCTATCGTTGCCTTCATAATTGACAAGCAACCCTCCCTCTACTACAGCGCGGTCCCGAGAAGAAACAACAGACACGACAAGCATCTTGTCGTTGTAGTAGCGACCGCTCCTTCCTCTATCAGTGGCTAGTAGTATTGTATCAATCGAATTGAGTTGAATTGAGTTGAGTTAGTTGACCATGGCGAGTGTAATTGATCTGGATCGCGTGCGTCGCAACGATGACCGTTTGTCGACGCTGCAATTGATTCTGAGCGGCGCCGTCGACCTCGCTGCTCTGAAGGAAGTCTTGCGCGTGAATACCAAGGTCTCCGAAGTCATCATCTACGTGGATGAGTCCTTCTTGGTAGAGCTTCCCGTGGAAGAAACACACGATTTGTTTCGGACGATTGGAGGAATGCCCAATCTACAAAAGTTGGGATTCCACAGTCAGAGCGGCAGCAGCGGCGTTCTCAGCATCCAGGCATTGATTGCCATTACCAGTCATGCCACGCGAATGGTCCACTTTGGCATCAGCGACGTTGCCTTGTGGGGCTCTCAAGCCGACTTTCAACTGTGGGCGACGCAGTTACAGACACAATTGTTCCTGCAATCCTTTTGTGTCTGCGAGTGCGAACTCCTCGAACCCAGCAAGGAATGTCCGCTCGATCCTCTTCTCACTGTACTCTCCATCTTGCCGTCGCTGGAAGCGCTCTTTCTACAAGCCGCAACGCCCAATGCCCTCGGACAAGTCTCTCCGGAAGCGGTAGGAGCCATTGGCATGGCGCCGCAGCTGCAAGATTTGAGATTGGGAAATTTCGAATTGAAACACGGACACGTCGTGCAAATGGCCAAAGTACTGCCGTCCAACGCTGTCTTGACGGAACTCAAACTCGACGCCAGTGTCGAGTTTCATCGGGAAACTGCGGTCGCCATGGCCAAGATTCTACGGTACAATCGCCGTTTGAAGAGTCTCGAATTGGGACTCACGTCCATGATGCCCGACGATTGCTCCGTCGTCTTGGCCGAGTCACTCAAGTACAATACCACGCTCGAGTCATTTACGCTCAGTCGAGGCGCCAATGCCAGGTTTCGACCTACCATTAGCAAGGCGTGTCAAGCCGCCTTTGTCGAAATGTTGCATCAAAATTACGTACTCGAAACACTGGTCCTATTCCAGAGGTTCCCCGTCAAGAAGGAATTCAAACTCTATTTGACTCTCAACAAGTACGGAAGAGGAAAGCTCCTCATGTCCCATGCCAGTGAACGTGAAGACTGGATTCAAGCCATTCACAAGGTGAACGATGATCTCGATTCCATCTTCTACTATCTCTCCATCAACCCCTCGCTTTGTAACAATTGCTTTGATGAAGAGGAGGAAGAAGAAGAGGAGGAACCAGAAGAAGAAGAAGAGGAAGCCGTTGAAGAATTCCAAGATGCTGAAGCGGCTATGCTGGGCGCCAATCAAGGACCCATGTTGAACATGCTGTATGGAAGCATGGCAGCTGCGGCCGGACACAAGCGTCAGCGTCCCATTCCTCTTGCGGGCTCGGCGTTTCTCCAGGAGTCGGCGGAGCGATCCAAGAGAATGCGCAACGTATGGGACCAGCAGTCCCATCTTCCCACAGCGGCGCATGTCGTCGTGGAAGATACTCAAGCCCTGATGCCGCCGCAGTATCACCACCACCATCAAGCAGCAGCGGCGGCGCTCCATCAGTCCTTACAGCCGCATCATCCCCAACTCGCGGCGGCGCTGGCGGCTTCGACACTGCCGCAGCAGGCGTTGCAGCAGCAGTCCTATGCCGCGGCCATCTATGATCCTAGGCAGCACCAGCAAGCTCTTTCTCATCATCATCAACTGCAGCAGCGTCATCATCATCATCATTCCCAACAACAGCCACCGCAGCAGCCCTTGTTGGTGACTGCTGCTATGGATCCGCGATTTCAGCAGCAATTGTCAGGATTCAGTCAAGAGCAACTGGCTTGTCTGCAGCATCAACTTGCCTTGCAGCAACAGCAAGCACAGCAGCAAAGGGCAGATCCACCAGGAGCGCTCTTTGCGGCGGCTGTGGCGGCGGCGGCACGGATGCCGCGTCACCCCCACCACCCTCATCATAACCACCATTTACACTTTTGAAGAGGTGGTTCGAACACGAGACGAAGGAGACACACACTCACTGAAAGTTATAAAGCTTCTTTTGTTAATTAATTAAAAAGAAAGCATTGGAGATGGGCGCGTCAAGCAAGCACGGACACCGACTTCCTCCCTCCGGCACTCCAAGAACAGTGGCTCTTGTCCCTCGGCTTGCTTGCGACAGCGCTACAATGAAGGAGAAGAACCAATGAACATCCGCTGGTCTTCAAACGACATACCGATAGATATTCATTAGTAGCAATATCATTACATATTTTTAAAACGTATTTATACAGGCTGATCTTTCGTTGTCACTTGGGTGTCATTCGCTTCGTGTTGGATCTGTTCGAGTAAGAGACAACATGTGACGCGGCAGAACTCGCGTTAGCGCCTACAGTCGTACCGTACAGTGCTCATGCAAGTTGTCATGGAATCGTTTTGGGAACCAGGAGCCAGGCCTGGCCCGGAGATGGACCAGGTGGTGCTCGAGAAGAAGCAAGATGTCGGTCTTGGAATTGGGACAAGTTTAGGTTTGGGTGAAGGTCCAGGAGCATGGTCAAATGTTGGCTCCAATGTTGCCCTCGAGCAGAAAACCAATTCACACGTGTACGATTACGGAATAGGTAATGACAGGCAATGGTGACGGTACTAGTAGCAGGCGCTTCGTTGTTTCGGAGCTTTTACGACGCAGTTTCGCACCTCTCCTCCGGAATACCAGCACCGCTGCCTATACATGTACTTCTGCCGGCACGTTTACAACTGACAATCAAAAGACAAAAGGCTCCTGAATCGAATGATGAATCAATCGCATTTATTGGCACAGGCGAATTCGTCAAGATAGATTCAACATTCCTACGGCAGATTTCTACAAAGAGTCAATCCAACCTGATCTTTCATTCAATGAAAGCTCCTAAACACCACATCTCCTTTTTCAACAACTTCCGGTGCAACACTTCCATTGGTTCATTCGCAACTCAGTTTCGCACCTCTCCAGCCAGCAATCTAAGCACTTCTGCTTTTACTTCTGCCATCAAAAGGGTGAGCTCCTGAATGTTTCAATTCGATTGAAGTTCATTCGAAACTGCAGCAGTAGATCTCTACAAACATTCGATTCCTGCCAATCTATCGATACGGTACGCACCAGACACCATTCATTCATAGAATGTTTCTAAAAAGCACCTCTCCTTCTCCAAAACCTAGTATCTTCTACAAGACGTACGAACCGTACCTACATTGCAGAACCTGATCTTTGAATTGAAATTTATCAAGGAACCCAGCTCGAAAAACAAGCAGAAGTGCCCCGAAAGAACCAGCCCTCTTCTTCCGTTTGAGAGGAGAACCACCAAAACGTCAATTGTGATGCAAAGAAAGGAAAAGAATCAAATACATCACCGCACCATCGCTAGCATAGATAGTACCGGTACGTTAGTCGGGCAGCTCCATCAACTGGAGCTGCTCGTTTCTTGCTTCGGCTGCGATTGGGGTCATACATACAAGGTAGCAAGTAGTATCAGCTTTACAGAGGTTCTGTGATACGGTACTGTACCGTATGTAGAGGCAGACAGCGGCCATGGTATGAAGCCAAATTGTGGACGTTAAACACTGTCTAAGCACAAAATGTAATTTCTCTAATTGGCGTTATATTTGCGATAAAGTGTCTAAATATATTCGGTGTTTAGGTTAATCACCATAGCCGGCTAGCTTCTTAGCAACCCAAAGTCACCAAACGTCCCATTTGCAAAACCTCTCTGGAGGCAACCTCTTGGAAGGAATGCAATCTCTCGTACAGCTTTTGGTTTACAGTAGCGGTTTGCTTCCATGCTTCCTTTGCCGTCTCTTTCGAAGGATCGTTGCGTCAAATACGTTATATCCACGACGGCCATGACGACGGAGGCCAAGAGGACGGTTCCCGTCCCAGTGGAAAAGGCTCTCAAGGTGTTTTTCAGCTTTATCAGCTCCGTTCGTCAAGACCTCGTCTCGGTCCCGGTGGATGTACAGTCGTCCAGTGATTTCAAGGCAAAGACCCGTGAAAACAAGTCGAAAATGTTGGAACAGCTCAAGACTTTAGCAGGCATGTTGTCCAAGCACATGGATCTGGAAAAGCCCGAAAACTATCGAGAACAAGAGCTCGTTGAAAATGTAAATTCTGCTGCAGGCGACTTCAGCCAGGACTATGCCGCCGCACAAACTCGATGGGTAGATCTTCTCTTGGATAAGACCTCGGAGACCCTTGATTCTATTCATCATGTGAACCTGGAAAAGCTTACCAAGCTCATGGAGAAGAATGACTCGGCGGGATGCATCATGGAGGGAAAAGACGTTATTCTGCTTCTGGGGTCTCCAGGATCGGGCAAAACAACCGCACTGCATTATCTAGCCAAATCGACCTTTCGAGAAATCGCCGTAGCAGATGCAAAATTCTTCAAACCAATGAAACTGGGGGATCCAGATCTCACTGAAATGAGGGTATCCTGCGGTGGCGGCAAGGAAGTCATTACCCGACATTTGCAGGTTGTGACGGTCAAACTGGATGGCAAACCCATCGTATTGTGTGATACCCCCAGTTTTGGGGATCACGAGACCATTGAAGAAGTCATTGCAAATAGTTTGGGACTTGTTCGCGCCGTGCAAAAGGCAAGATCGGTACGACCCGTCCTGGTACTCAGTTGCGATGAACTCGGGTTCCGTGATCGATTCAATGCCTATCCCCAAATATTGTCCATCTTGACGCGGCTGTTGGGAACAGACTCCAACGTGGATTTGGAACCCTTCAGCTTTATATTTACAAAGTATGATGCCAGCTGTATTAGCGGCCTTCGAAAACAGTTCTCTTTGTTTTTGAAGGAAGGCGAAGAAGAAGCCACCTGGGGAGGAAAGGCGGATCAAAACAAGCAGGCACTGATCAAACATCTCATCAAGCGTTCCTGTCCCGAAACGAATACTGTTATTCCCACACGAGGAGACCCTGAAGTTGTCTTGAGGAAACTCATGGGTGCAGAATCATTTGTTTCCAACCCCGAGACGTTCTTCGTCCCCAATCTTTCCGATACACTCTTGTCGACTTTGAAAAAGCAACTCAAGTTTACGTTGGTAGACCTTCGCGAGGCTCTCTCCAGGAATGACAATACTACTGGAATTCACAGGATGCAACAGATGAGTAAGCTAGCAAACTTGCTCCCTGAAGCTGGAATTTACGCACGCCATGGATTTAAGGCGTTCAAGGAGATTATCAACCAAATGGTCGAAGACGATGACGACGAAGACTGCGAAGAAGAAGACTCAGACGGAAACGAGTCCAGTGGCTCTGAAGGGCTACTCCCACCAGACTTGGCCGACTCGAGTAAAGGATCATGGACATCCAGCGAGTCGGAACAACGAAGCAACGTATCGTCCAGGCTGGTCAAAAGCCCTAGCCAAGAGTATTTGGTTTCCCGTCATTTGTCTACAGTCCCAGAAGAGGCAGAGGATGCGGATAATCAGAGTTCCATGAGCGAGAAGAAAATCAAGAACGACAAGAAAATCAACAACGACGAAACCTCACAATCCTCACAAACTTCGCGGAAGAGTCAAGAGTCCGGAGACCGATCACGCTCTGGACCTTCCAAGGCTCTCCGTGAGCTCGCTGCAAAATGTGGGGAGATGTCTCCTCAGGAGCTAGAAGACAAGGAGGACAACTTGATTGTTGGGATTCATCCAATGTCCCCAAATTACTCCCAAGCCCCCCCTTACACTTCCCACGTTTCCCCCATCGTTTCCCACGCTTCCCCCATCGCTTCCAGTGTTTCCCCTCCTTCGTCAAATGAGAGTGAACTGGCCGACGATCGCGATGACGAGGAAGAGCTCTCACAGGATCAAATCGACCTTCCAGAAGAAGATCAAGCCTATGCCGAACAGTACAGTACACTGCTCAAGGAGATGACCATAAAAGCAGTGGAAGAAGAAGACTACGTGCTGGCCGTACAACGAATGCAAGAATTCATGAGATTGGCACGATCCAGTCCGGAGCACACTCGAGATCATCCGGATTTTAAGCGGTGCGTGGAGCTGTTTTTGGTCTTTTCCGTGGCACTGAAAGAGTGTGATTATCGCAAGTGCCTGCAACAGATGAATGCCTTGATTGCAATGTCCGAAGGTGGAAACGTGGAAGCTCAAAAGTGCACGGAATGCGGGGTGAATGCTGCAATCAAACACATTATCGAGCTCCGCGAGCGAGTGATTGAAGTGACAGCTCAGCTCCATTGTATTGCGGACCCGGATGAGTTCGATCAAGTAGCGGAAGAACTTCGAACTCTTCGAGGAAAGGTGGAGAACTCCAATGTGCTAATGGAAACTTGCATGCGAGGAAGCAACGACAAGGGGAAGTCAGAGACTGTGCTTGCTTGCATTTCATACGGATTCAAAGTTGGTCGGCTAACCAGGTAGAGGGCAGCTAGCTAGCGAAGCACCAAGACCAAGGCGAAAATGGAGCTGACTGAACGCAATTAGCCTGTGACTGTTAGAGTAAGTGGAAGAATGAGGGGCTGTTTCCTCTTTGCATGCATTGCTTCATCCATCCATCACCCAGCAATTACTATATTGGCTTCTACACCAATAGTATAAGTTTGTAGCCTAGTTTAGATGATATCCAACACGTTTTCCGAACGATGAGTCAATACATATATTTCCATGAACTAGGCAGCTCCAACGAAGTTTTGAGCAAGCTTTCACGCATGAAAAAGCGCAATTTTAAAAGCTTCTACCGTATCTGCATAAACGACCACAACCACAGCGTGTTGTGCCGTCGTGGAACATTTGCCCGAATGACGAACATCCGTGATCCCAGCTCCAAGAAGCGAACACCGCCAACGGCCAACAAGCCAACAACCATGACCAAAGACCATGTTGTTGACTTGGTACCAATAGCTGGGTTGCCAGGATGGGTCCAAATAGAAACCACAAAAGCAACACCATACAGCAAGCCCCAGTCATCGAATCATGAGCAATGTACCAGAAGTAACCGGAGCAAGATCCAGCCGCCAGAAAACAAGGAAGACATCCAAATGGTCATCGACGTGGATCTACTTGTTGGCGTTGCTTTTGGGCTGGTGTGTGATCACCTGGTACTTTTCCTTTTCCGTCCACAAAAGCAGTACCAGCAATAGGAATGGAAATGAATTTTCGAATGTAGTAGTGCCCCCAAGAAAGACGCCCACCAATGTTGACTTGCAACAGCGCAAAGAGTCCGGAAGTTTGTCATCGGGAGACCAACACTTTCTCATTTCGTACTTGACAATGACAGGGCAGTTCCAGCAGGAGGAGCAAAGTAGCAGCGATGCACAGAAAGCACAAGAGATTTTTTCCAAAGAAATGAGGCGAGTCCAAGCCTGGTTGCTACAAACACAAAAGAGTCCCTTTTTGCCCCTCACGGCATATTTGGAGTCACCGTTGCCTCCTTACAATGACACTCAAGTCCCCCGGTTGCTCTCCACGCATCGACTGGCCAACAAGCCCCAAGATCTGATACAAAGAGAATACACTACGGATACGCCACAATCTTGCCTTGATTTGCCCAATGCATTTCCCGTCATGAAACCACCCACCGACAAGGAAGAAGCAGAAACTCAAAATAGGAAGAATGACTGCCCCATTCATGGCGATCCGTTTTTGCCGTGGATCCATGATGCCTTTGTGTCACCGTCGGGTACTGTGGTGGAGATTGTTGCCCACAATCAACGAAGATGTCATACCAATCCAAAACAATACTTTCACAGGCTGCAACACCTGGAACCACAAGTGACCATCATGCAAAGTGTGCCCGTGATTCGAGAAAAGGCAACCGGTAATGGTGCCTATCGGTACCGATTGGCATCGTTACAAGAGGCTGCCGCCAACACGGATGCTGTTACGGAAACCAGATTTATTTGTCACTTTCATACCCAAGTGCTGGCCAATAATCAGGAGGGCGACACTCTGCAAACGATTCCTCTTGGCGAAACCTTGAGTGTCTTTCCCTACAATTACGAACATGCCAATGATCGAAAACGCAACAGCAAGCCCATGCTGACCCGTGCGACTTCTACCAGTGATGACAAGACGGCTTTGCACAATGAACGAAAAGAGAGAGATTCGTCTTTTATTCTCCAAAGATGCCGCTCAAGGTTCACTGGCCGAACGTGTGGCACTCCACAAATCTCAGATTCTTTTCAAACTTGGCCCTTGTCCATCATTTGGCAGGTGGCTGTGTGGATGACAACTCCGTCTTCAATGCCCTCAAGCTATATGATCTATGCTTGGAGAATACCATTGCCTTGGCAGCTACTCAAGAAGGTCTTGCAATCACCATTGTCGCGCTCAATAACAAGGCACACATCTTCCATGAGTTCTGTGAGTTTCGCAGTCTCCAAGTGGTTCAGGAAACCATCTACGCAGCTCTGGTGTTCTTGCCAAAGGGTGTTCAAGTCATGGACAATTCGATGCTCCAAGGAATTCTGTTCAATGTGTATATGCTACGAAACTTGAACTGTGCACGAGCTGCATAAGAGGGGTCTCTTGCTTCCTTGGAAGAGCGAATTCTGTATCATTACAAACACGAATACCCGGTGTATCTTAGTCCATACATAAACAATATAGAGAGAGACGTCCATGCTTATCGTGCAAACCAACAACAAGTTGTTTAGTCAGCAGCAGTGTTCATTATTGGCTCATCATGTGATGGACTGGTGCCAATGCTGCTAACCTTGCATACAAGAGACCTCATAGCTGATGCCAAAAAATGAAATACAGTCTGCAGCAAGCACCTCTCTGTTTGTATGGAAGACCCATCAGTGGCTGTTCATGTCTTGCTTGGGTGTGTCCTACATTATTTAAGCACTGCAAGAAAGCCCACCAGTACTTTAGAAATAGAAGTGGTAGCTTCAGGAGCAAAGAGTCTGTCAGCAGAAAGAACAAATGGGGTGAAGTGCAGTGCACTGAGACAGGTACTTTTGTCTTCTTAGCAATCTCCCACTTGGAAAGGCCCTTGTGATTCCGTATCACCACAACCAAGGGATTCAACCTTCATATCAAAGATACAATAATTACCAGGACGGCGAGATTACATTGGTCTTGAATGACAGGATCAGAGGGAGTAGGAGCACGAGTCAATCTGGGCCAGCAAGGCTGGGGGCGATGAGTGACGGGTGTTTGTCACGGTGAAGTCCATAACCGATACTAAATCAGCAAGGTCGAGCACAACTTGATTGTGGTGATGGAAAAGAATTCCACCGTGGGAGCAAGAAATGAGGGGTGGAGACCAAACCTTTTGGTGCAGCCATCATCCATTGGGCTCAGTGGTGCTCACAGAAAAATTTCTAGCTGATGTGATGGACATCTGGGAGGTCAGGAAGGCAAAAGGCGGTCCAATCCGAGAATCGAACTCGGGACCTCATCCAAGCTATGGTCCCGGAGGACTCCCTAAAGATGAATCATGCCACTAGACCAATTGGACGCTGACAAAGGCCCATATGTTGATATTTATAATTGCAAAGCTCGGTTGGAGTATTGCCGCGGAGGTGCTGAATTTTGCCACCGAGCACAGTGGAGGTGCAGAGTTGTTGCCTCTGAGGTGCCAGCCCAAGAGGTGCAGAATGTTGCCACCAAGGTGCAGAGTTGTTGCTGCGGAGGTGCAAGCCCCAGAGGTGCAGAACCAAGGTGCAGAGTTGTTGCTGCCGGAGGTGCAGCCCCAGAGGTGCAGAATGTTGCCACCGAGGTGCGAGCCCTAGCAGAGGTGCGGAATGTTGCCACCAAGGTGCAAGCCCTGGAGGTGCAGAATGTTGCCACCGAGGTGCCCGCTCTAGAGGTGCAGAATGTTGCCACTGAGGTGTGCACAGTAGAGGTGCGGATTTTTGTGGTCAAGGTGAGCGCCCTACGTACGTACTAGCTAGCTAGAGTAGTTACAGGCCCATGTGCTTTATGACCGACAGCCATGAGACGTGAGACACGAGATGGCTCTGCTCTCCTTCTTCCGATCTATTCTCAAGTCAAGCTAGCTCAAGTCAAGCTAGGTAGTAGTTGGAAGCGAAGTGTTTTCTTTTTGAGTCCGTCTTGTGCACTCGATGAGTTACGCGCGGTTTTGGTTCGGACCTGATCCAGTGCCTCCAGTTGGCTGGATTTGTGAACGGGGTGGTGTGGTGTGTTGGTGTTGTGTGGGTTGTTGATGTGTAGGCTTTCATGGCGCCCCAGGGAACTTCTTAATCCCTGAAGGGTAAGACGAACGGGCTATTGAAGCTTTGAGGATCCATTCTAGTACTTTAGACTGGTCTCCTCCAGCTAAGCGGTTGGTTACAGGTCGACTATCGCACCGGCACGGTGTTCTACATCAGTCCTCTTCAGAAGACATTTGCTGATCATGGCCATATTGAACGGAACTGCGTCAGCTGTGTGTGTTACTTGCTAGTATTTGATTATTTCGCGGTACCGTTGAAGGAGCGGTGGCAAAAGCTCTTTTAATCTAGGTACCACAACCTCGGAAACGACTTCGTGGGGATAGCAATTGTACTCTCGTCCCCCAGCATCCGTCGCTCCCTCCTTGGCTCCCGGGGGATACGGAATGCCAACAGGACAGTCATTACTTTTCTTGTCTTTGCCTTTTCTGTCTGGCTTTGTATCGTCAACGGTGACAACGGGGCACTGTTTCTTCCAATACTCTGTCGCCTTGGGGGATGTCGTCTTGGCATGAAGCAAGAATGCTTGGTTTCGTTCGTCGACACGTCGTTCGTTCGGTGGTCGATCTTTGTACAAGCCTGACCATTCGTTGGGTGCTTCGAGCAGTCGTCGTGTGACGATGGAATAGTGAACAAAGTGCATGAGGACAAAGGACGGCTGAAAGATTTGCTTTTGAGCACGCCAAGCCCAGCCTGGCTTTGGAAACTGTAGACGGTCGCAATTATAAGTTTCCAAAAAGGTTGTATTGTCACGTTTCTTCCATTGAAACTGTGGATGGTTGGCCGATGCAACCGCGTCCATTAGTCGAATGTTAGGTATGGCGCGGGTCTGATAAAAGCTCCAAATCTTGGTATCGCCATGCTCTATGCTGGCCTGTTCCAACCATTGTCGCAAAGATATCTTGTCATGCGATTTTTGCTGTTGTGGAATCAAGTACTCGTCGGTATCCAGAACTGCCAGCCACTGCGTCATGGGCCCGTATCGGATGCGACAACTGGCTTCGGCGGCATATTGACTACTGCGCTCTCCAGGATTATTCGAACCAGGTGGCTTATTGTTGCAGACGGGGTGCTTCCAAGGGATCCGAGTAACTTGATGGGAAGGAAAGAGACGTGTTACCGATTCCAACGTCGTAGCACCATCGGTAGGAGAATTGTCGTAAATGTAAACGTGGTCGAACTGAGCAATCTCAAACTGGTAGGTGAGCCATTCTATCAGTCTCAGAGAAGTCGACGTGTCGGGATCCGACGATCCCCGAGTGGTAAAGGTAGCGGATGCCCACACACAAGCTGACAAAAAGTGTTTCTTCTTGTCAGAAGAACTGATGTCAGTATTCGGTCGGTCTTGCCTGTCGCGCTCTTGAATATCCTTTTTGTCGCCTTGCTGTTGTGACTCTGGTGTTGCTGGTATTCGACAGAGTGGAATGTTGGCCCATCGACCACTTTGCTCCACGGTGGGCAGCCAATGCTTTTGGTTACTATTATTGCCAATACCCCATTCGAGTACAGGATCAAACAACATGTTGCTGCCACTGCCGATGGACATGTTTCTGGCCTTCCGATCAAAGTATCCTTCCCGTTCTGTTCGAGGATACGTGCGAATGGGTACGACATCCACATAAATGCCGCTTTTGTTGTCTTGCAATAGTAGTAGTGATTGCAAATGGGCTGGAATGGGACATTGAAAGTGAAGCAGTGAATTCCACACTT